TAGGTGTTAAGGTTAATGGTGATCATATTACAGAAGTATTGTATAGATGATATTAGTACTCATTGGTGTATGGTGATGGTAGTTAATACAATGGTATGCAAGGTGGTAAGATGGTGATGATAGGTGTAATTGTAACATGGTGTATATTGTATAACTACTGATTTAACTGATTGAGTTATTTCAATATTGCGTGGATGAGGTTTTGTTAACTAAAAACTAAACAATCCCTAAATTGGAACTTTTACTATTAAAAATTATGATTTTAAAATCATTAGTTTTAGCTTTTACATTACATTTGAGATCAGAAAGTATTGTACTAACTCCATACTACCAGCTTCACATGCTCCATGAACTGAAGTGTATCCATTATTATCAGGATCATCAGGAGTACAGGGGAAGGTCTCTATGAGATAACAGACCATACAAATATTATCAGAACAAGAAGCATAATGAAGAGGAGTATGACCAGACTAATTGTTTGCAGGTAATGCATTTGTGTCAATGTTGTGTTTCAAATATTGGTATATGTTTCTTCTTACAGCAACATCCCCAATCTTTAAGGATAATTTCTTAGCTCTCTTTCTTTTTGTTAATAAGTGTAAACATGTGATGCCCTTTTTATCTTGTGATTTAGGATCTAGTTTATACTTCTCAACAAGTTCTTTTACTATTTCAATATCTCCTCCCTCACATGCTGCATGAAGTAAACCACGTCCTCTATTATCCATTGCATTAACACCCTGAGGATAAACATGGCATAAATAACGAAACACATGAATACAGTCATTACTGCAAGCTATATGAAACACAGTGCATCCTTTAGTATCAGTAGCTGTAAGGAGATCATGATGAGTAGAACTACCAGTGACTGAGAACAGTAAAGCTTCAGTGGTATCCTTATGACCAGAGGCAACTGCTAAGTGTAATGGTGTCTGTCCTTTCTTGTTAGTAATTAATATATTGATACTAGAAGAGAGATTAGCACTGGATAAAAGTGATACAATTCTTGTTTGTCTCCACATACAAGCAAGGTGTAGTGGTGTGTTCCCATGATTATCCTGAACATTAATAAGTATGCTTAACTTATTTGTTAATAAAAATTTCAATATTTCGTACTGTTCAGCTGCTACAGCAACATGTAGTGGTGTACGGTCTTGATGATTGGTTGCATTAGGATTACAATAATCATTATCCATGAGATACTTCAATACATTCAAGTGGCCCCTCTCTACTGATATGTGAACTGCTCCAGATCCTTCATCATCAGTAGCTGATAGATGACACTTATTACTAATAAGATATTTGATAACTTCTAACTGATTGAAGTACACTGCAATAAGAAATGGAGTACGACCATTTTTACTGTGAGGTAGTTCAAGTGATGATGGTATGTGTTTTATAATGTACTGGATCAAGTTTAATCTTCCCTTTTTACATGCTAAGTGAATAGGAGCCATTCCTTCATCATTCACAGCACACAAATCTAACTGGAGATTCTCTACCAGATGTTTGAGTATAGGAAGAGAGTCACTGTACTGGCTGGTAATGTGAAGAACTGTTGATCCATTAGAAGTCTTAGCTGCTACATTACACTGAGGAAGACTAGTGAGATAAAGTA